AAAATAAACCTTCTCCACTAAGTTGTTACAGGAAGAGAACTAAGGCTCAGAGAAAACAGAAGAAAATACTTGTGCTGCTGGCAGAGGAGAAAGGTTAGCACTTTGAAATAAGCCCCAGGTTAGTCTCTGAAACAAAAGCTTGCCTCCAAGAGCAAGCTGCTACTGGAAAAATGAACAGAATGAATACCATTAGACAGTTCCAGCTCTTTCCAGTCTCTTCGGCCATGCTATCCTGAACATGGTCAATCTCATCTAATCTTGGAAGACAAGTAGGGTCAGGCTTGCTAAGTGCTTGGATGGGAGGAGGGAAAGGAATGCTTACATCAGAGCCCAGGTCTCAGCAACAAGTCTAAGATTTTACAGGAAGGTAGATCAGAGTCCAAAGATGACAGAGATGCAAACCCAAAACAAGAGAAAGGGGAGGAGAGGGGGAGACAGAGAGACAAAGAGAATAAATGAATATATCTTCTTAAACTGACAATTAAATATTTACGACGACAGGCCATCCTAACCTCAAAACATATCTCAGCAAATAACAAAAAATAATACAAAACTCTTAAACCAAAAAACCTGAACTAAATTAGAAATCAGCTGGGAATGTCTCATGGGCCAAAAGAATTATGTGTGAGCCAAAGAAGTCTTTAGAGAAATTAAGGAGGTTTTTTTTGTTTGTTTGTTTGTTCCTGAGATAGGGGAGGTCAGAGGCCAACCTCAGGTGTCTGTCTCCACCTTCCATCTTGTTTGAGATGTTTCATTTGATGCCACATAAGCAAGACTAGTTTAGCTAGTTTGAAAGTATATGGGATTCTCCAATGAGGATCAAAGACCAATGGCTCTCCAGGAACCCTCTAGGCATCGGTGCTAGATTGGGGAGGCAGAGGCACTCAGCTATATGGATATTGGGTTCTCAGCCTCTCTGGTGTGAGACAACTATTGCTGGACTACTCCAGTTCTAACATGTAAGCGAATCTAATGGATTCCCTTTGAACATGGGCTCATCGCTATTGATTCTGTGACTATGGAAAACCCTAATACAAGTGGATTACATAACTAGAGTGAGACTAATCTATGTATTGATTATGGTGACCACCAAGATTTTATTGACAGATGTGTAGGTCACTCTCTTGGGCTTCCTTTTTTTCTAACACACTGTGGTCCTCCTGCTCTCCTGACTATAATCCAAGGCTTGAGGTTCTTTTCTCTACTTCATGTCACATCCACATCCAAGCACCAATAGAAACAATATAAATAAAGTGATGAAGACCTTGCTGACCACTATTGGCTCACAGTTCCCCTAGCCAGAAAGGGGTCAGAGAGCAAAGATGTGATTGGCCTGTTCAGCCACCACCACATTCCACAGAAATGCCCAGAATGCCAGATGTTTTATTTCATATGTTTCCTTCTTTAATCTACTGCCATTATTTTTTTCAGGTTATCTGAACAGCTGGCCTGGGTATTAGTTGCATTCAGTCAGAGAGATGGCAGGGTGTGCTTACTCCACTTAAAGGGGAACCAAATCCACCATTTCTACTGATTACAAACATGTCCATGGAAGATGAACTCTCAAACCTCGGTTTCTTTGATAAGGAGAATTCTGAACAGAAACCTCACATTCATCACTTTATACAATTGGTTTTTTTGCCTCAATTTTTATTATATTTAAACATACATACAGACAAGTTTAAAGGGTGAGCAATGAGAAACTCTATATCTACCACAAAGATTCAACAATCACTGACCGATTCCACAGTTTCAATTTAAAATATGCCGCAGACATTAGGACTTGTCAACTTAAAACTTTTGCATGCACATGACAGGGAAATATAAACTCAATATTTTACCTATTCTAAGAAAATAAGCATACCACATTATCTAATACCTATTCTCATCTTTGCATTTCCCTAAACATCCCCCAAATGTCTTTTACAGTTTCTTTCCTGACTCTATGTCACAATAAAAGATCACACTTTGCATGTAGCTGTCTCAGGTGTCTTGGAAAAAAGTCCACCTTCTGTCCTAACATATTGGCTATTTGAAAAGTACAGCTCAATGTTCATTTCCAACGACTCAAACTCTTGATTTGTCTATTACTGTATAATCTAACTTATTTCTCTCAATTCTTGGTAAACAGGAAGGTAAGTCTAGGTGAAAGATTTCTGTAAACTTTCTCTAACTGGTTTTGGCAGTGTGTCATGAATAATAAAGTGTGTTTCTGTGGCCTCAATAGAGGCCACAATGGCTGCAACTCAATGAAGGGGATTTCTGCCTGCTGGAGCTCAATATGAAAGCTGGTGCTTTTTCTGCAACTGACAGCTGTGCTCTTTTGGGTTTATGCAATGTTTCTTAAATTGTTTTTTTCATGTAGTAGGTTTTACCATTAATCATTTTTTTGCAAGATTTAATGACAATGACAGTTGTTAAATAATTTCTCTAAGCTTATTGTTTGTGTGTATATTTAAAGGTGGCTTTTTTCATATTTGAAGTTTTTTTCATAACTTTTTGAAGATATTACATCCAATACCATCATGAGTATTTTTGATGTTTGATGTATCCTAAGATTGACCAAAGGATGAAACTTCACATTAGTTCCTGTGTCCATCTATGTTATATTAGTAATTATAAAATGATGTTTTATCATAAGAATACACTCTAGGTGAACTTATTCCCTCTGCACCAAACATGCAACCAGTCATTTCTTCAAGGAGTCCTGAATCCTTCTCATAGTGAATGGCATTTCAAACCAAAAAGTAGGCACTGTGCGTGCTCATGGCCACTAGGGACATAGGAAATTCTGAGGTTCATTTCAAGCCCTATTTTTCTTACAAATACACTTAAACACATAAAACTACTCTGATGAGCCAAAAGAAGTCAATCAAGAAACATATTATGTTGAATGCCTGCTTAATTCTAATTCTCTCCTCAGACAGAAGGGTCTAATTAATGTTTAGAGTAATTTCTAAAATGACAAATCATTGGGTAAGGAACTAGGACTAGGGGATATTTAAAATACTAAGGTGATAAATAGACTGTTTAATATAAAATACGCATCTATAACTTTATACTTAAATCCTAAGGGCTGGAGATATAGCTCAGTGGTAGAGCACCTTCTGAGCATGTATGTACAAGGCCTTGGATTCAGTCGTCAGCACTACAAAGAAAAAAAAAAGTATCAGAAGTTGTGTAATAAAAAGGCAGCCTAACATGGAAACATACCAAAGCAACACCTCCATCTGGACCTTTGTTGACTTTAAGAATTTAAGTAGTTATTGTAGCAGATATAAGCAGAGACAGAAGAAAAGGAGGTATGTTCTCAACTCCCTACTAAGACCAAAGCTAGAGGGAACTCTAAAGATAAATAATTATATCACTAGCACTAATATATGAACAGGTTACAAAACAAATAGTGTTCTTGAGCCTTGAGGACAGAAATAAACCTGTAACTATCATAGATTATCAGAGCTGAAAACCTCCATTCTTGAAAGGTTATAAATTAAAATCTCTCCTGGTCCTCATGTGCTAACAGGTCCATAGCAAGAGACTCTGTCAACACTGGCCTTCTTCAACATGTAATATACTGTTTGGGTGACAGTCTTTCCACCTGTGCCTGCTCAGGCCAACTTCTACAGTACTGTAAAACTCTATTCAGCTATACAGAACCAGATCCACTACAAATACAGGCAAACGAAAGAAAGTTTCCCTTGGGGGAAACATTTAATTTGAAAAAGTAAACTCTAAATTAGTGAACTGAGTATACACATCATGTTTATGTGAGTATGTGCGTGCAGCCTATGATGATGTTATGGTCAATGATAGACAACATATATCACAGTGGTCTCATTAGACTATAACTGGCCTGGAAAATTCCTACTTGTCTAATGACATCAGAGCTGTCATGACTTTATACCCATCATAACACCTTAGGCACAATGCAATACTCACTTGTGCAAACAAACCTGCTGTGCTGGCAGCCAGATGACATTGCAGCACACACTACTATGTACAGTACATGACATATGATGATGGTGACAAACTATATTACTAGTTTACTAATTTGCTATACTATATTTTTATCTTTATTTTAGAGTATACACATCCTACAAATAAAATTTACACCAAGCATGATGGCTCATGACTGCAATCTCAGTATGTGGGAGGCTGATGCAATAAGACTACAAGTTCAAAGCCAGTCTGGGATCCATAATGAGTTCAAGGCCATCCTAGGCTACATAGTGAGACCCTATCTAAAATAAACTAGCAAACAAAAAAAAATTACCATAAAAGTATAGATATATGCATATGGAGAAAGAGAAAGGAGAGATGTTGTAATTAAATTATAATCTCAAAAAAATTTTAAAGTATGGTATGTTAATCACCTCAAGAGATCACATTGATTGGCTAACCCAGACCATCTAGGGTTTGCAAGTGCAATGATGTTCCTATAAACATGAAACTGCCTAATGAAGCATTTTCAAACTGTACCCTCACTACTAAATAACATGACCATAAATACCTAAGTCATATATGTGTATATATGAATATATGTTCATACATACCCACATGTATGTTGTATAAGGAGCACTTCATAAAGAGCTTTATTGTTGATACACAACAAATTATTCTCACTAAAAACATGCTATTCTCTTCCTCTGTAGTGGCTCTTCATGAAAAAGAGCTCTCCCTAGACCAGCTCACCACTTTAGGGACTGAAACCCCACAATTCTTCACATTACCAACTATTTCAGAGACCATCTTGTAAAGAAAATTCATACACAGAAGCTCTTAGGAGATGACTACCTCACGAAACAATGCTTACACGCAACAGTTACTCATGTGTTTTGTTTTTTAAATGAGGCCTTCATACTTTTCCTATGAATTAAAAAAAAATATTTAAAAAATTTTTGTAATAGTTCTTAAATGGTTGACGTCAGCATCTTTTGTATTTTCATTGTTCAACTGTCCACGACTTAGTAACTATTTGTTGTATCAGTAAAAAAAGATGAAACCTATTTTGACTTTTACTCTAGTTATTATTCTTCTGGTTGCTGTCTTCGATTAGAGAGATGAATTAAAATTCTCAGGCTTGTCTGCCCTCAGAAATTTCTGATATGGAGTAAGGGATGGTCCATAGATAAAAGGTGTACCGTATTCTTTCCATTTATAGAGCCTTTCTTTAAGGTGAACTTTTTTGTGTCTGCAAAGGTTTGACCTGTAACTATAGGCTTTCCCACACTCCATACACTTGTAGAGTTTCTCTCCAGTATGGATCCGCTCATGTTCAGTTAGGAATGAATACTGGCTGAACGCCTTTCCACACTGGTTACACTGATAGGGTTTCTCTCCGGTATGGATCCTCTGATGTCGATAAAGGTTTGATTTACAGCCAAAGGCTTTCCCACATTCTTCACACGTGTAAAGTTTCTCCCCAGTGTGAATCTTCCGATGTTCATTGAAGGATGAATACTGGTTGAAGGTCTTCCCACATTCGTTGCATTGATATGGTTTCTGTCCAGTATGAATTCTCTGATGTTCAATAAGGGTAGAGACACGTGTAAAGGTTCTCCCACACTGTAAGCATTGGCAAAGCTGTTCTCCAGTATGAAGTCTCTGATGTTCAGCTAGGGATGGAAACTGACTGTAGCCCTTCCCACACTCAGCACATTTATAGGGTTTCTCACCTGTGTGGATTCTCTGATGTCTGTGAAGCTTTGCTCTGCAATTAAAGGCCTTGTCACACTCAGCACATTTATAGAGCTTTTCCCCAGTGTGAATCCTCTGGTGCACTGTGAGGGTTGAACACTGGCTGAAGGCCTTGCCACACTCCCGGCAACGGTATGGCTTCTCTCCAGTGTGCACCCGCAGATGTTTGATAAGTGTGGAGCTGCTGCCGAAGGCTTTCTCACACTCACTACATTTGTATGGCTTCTCTCCAGTGTGCGTTCTCTGGTGAGCCAGGAGGGAAGATCGATGGCTGAAACATTTCCCACACTCATTACACTTGTAAGGTTTCTCGCCAGTGTGAATTCTCTGGTGCTCAAGAAGATGAAGACTTTGGCTAAAACCCTTTCCACATTCACTGCAGACATAAGGTTTTTTCCCTGCGTAAATCTGGAAGCTCCTCATTAAATCAAAATCCTGTGGTAAATCTTTCTCCACAGTGTCAAACATACTAGGTACCCTTTCTCGAGGATCACTCTCTTGTGAGACAAGCGCTTTATTTCTAAACAATGGTTTCCCCAGCTCAGGGTCAGTGGAGTTTCCGTCTTCACCGAGAGTTTCCTTGGGTAAAGCTACCCTCTGCTCATAAACTTTCTTTTCTTGTTCCTGTGCTGTTAGGCTCTCAGATTTCACAACTTCTCCAAAGTTGGTTTCCCAGTGAGTACCCTTAGTGGATTCATGCTTTACTAGCCCATGAGATGTTTCTTCAATAAAAACGTCTTGTTTGGGAGTCAATGCTTCTACCCCTGGCCAAATCTGGAAATCTGAAAAGAAATGAAGAATCAATTCTTCCTTTGCTGAAAGAGACATGGACACATCCGAATGAGATTGGTGCCGCCCGATACCAAACATGGACCTAACCCTGGAGGGGAAGCAGGAAGCTAGGAAGTAAATGGGCTAAGGAGTAGGGCAGGAGAATAAGCTAGACAAATCAATGCTACAGATGAAGAGACTGCAGTTCTAGCGAAAAAGAACTAAAGGCAGAGAAGGACAGACCAAAGGACAGAGCAGAAGACTTAAGGATATGGAGCAATGTGACTTGACAAGCTGAAGCTAAGCACCATGGAATCCCTCAGGTTTTCCTCACTTCCTGCTCTGTATACAGAGGATGTGGGCAGGTAGCTCCCTTTACTTTCTCCTACACACAAGTCACTTTCATTGTATTTTTTCCCCATGCTTCCTCTGAAACCCACAGTAAATAATTTCAAAATATTTGAGCTGTTTTTCTTAAAATTGTGACTTCGCATTCAACTGTAATTTCATCACAGCCTGAGAAGGGGAAAACAGTCTGTTTAAAAAAAAAAAAAAAAAAATGAGATTTGGATCTTAAAAATTACAACAACCCCAAACACAGCTTTGGCTGTGTTTGACCCAAGTTCAAGACACTGTTCAAAAAAGGAAAAACTACAGATCAAGTCAGCCATGTGTACACTTCAGACTGAAAGAATAACATGTTTTTCTTGCTGTCTCTCATCACTGTCTACCTTTCTGCTGGGCCAAAGGAAAAATACTATATTCATTTCTTCTATAATCTGCAACCAAAAGACTAATCTGTTTGTAGGAATCTTATGAATATAATAAAATTCTGTAAGTTTTGTGAAGTCAGTTTGTCCTGAAGATCTAAGTATGCCCAACCCCAAGTTCAGCTCTGACTCTAGGCAAAAGATTTAGTTTAACTTCATGTTAAGAACTCTGAACTAAAATTCAGTTTTCTTTACTCAATCCATACTGAAAATGGATTAATGCTACATCATCACATTTAGATAGTTGCAAATCAACATTGTTTAAAAACAATGGGCTCTAAACATCACACTAGGGCTCATTACTTACAAGAATGTCTCTGTTGCAACTGCCTTTTCATGACATATTTAAGCAAACTCCTGTGTCTCCATTTCCCAATGGCTGACTCACCTAGGCAGGTGTCTTCAAGATCTCTTTCCATGCAGGGATCTTGTCCTTTCTGCAGTTTGCCAATCACCCGAGGCAATGAAGCCTGGATCCCTGCTCATGAGAAAGGGAATAGAGTTGGGATAAATGGCCTGACGAGCAATCTCAGAGCCACTTCATATGCCATTCGCCTGACTCAAAAGCAGAGAAAGTCAGTCTTAGAAGATGGGACATACAAGGTAATCACTTTCAGGGGGAGTGAAGTTGGGACATGGAGCAAGAAGCAAAGTCCAGTTCAAAATTAATACATAGTCTGGAAATGAACTTCTCTAAGACAGGGTATTCCTGTACAGTTTCCAATAACATCTAAATGTCTTATATGAATTTCAGACTCTAAACTGTCCTGTGTCAGAAAACTGCCTGGGAGCAGGGTGCAAGGAAGGGCATAGAAAAGAGAAGGGAGTATAAAAGGCATCAGGAAATAACATACTTTCAACTCCTCAGAGATTTGACTTTCCCCTGCAGCACAATGGAGTAGAAAACAGTGGACTCTGAACCCAAAGACACAGCTTCAGTATGTCCTTCTAACATATTGTCTAGAGGCAAAGATCCTTACCCAGTGAGGCCAGGTTGCTGTAGTTCTCCAGCATCACCTCCCGGTACAGGCTTCTCTGTGCAGAGTCCAGATGCAACCACTCATCCTGGCCAAAGAACACGGCCACATCCCTGAATGTCACAGGTTCCTGAAACAGCAAACCCATTCCTGATTACCCTAGAACAACAGTTCTCAACCTGTGGGTCACAACCCCCTTTGGGGGGGGGGGGTGAATGGCTCTTTCACAGGGGTCAAATATCAGATATCCTACATATCAGATATTTATAATACACTTCGTAAAAGTAGCAAAATTATAGTTATGAAGTAGCAACAAAAATAATTTTATGGTTGGAGGTCACAACATGTAGTACTGTATTGAAGGGTCACAGTATTAGGAAGGCTAAGAGCCACTGCCATAGACCATCGCCTTCATCATCTGGGATGAAGATGACACTTGATGCATACCAAGAAATTCTGAAACTATCTCAGGACACTAAGTATTCTGAATCATCTAGTTATGTCATTTCTGGGCAATACTTATTAAATATTTCACTAAGCAAGTATGTATTAAGAATCCACTAGAATCAAAGACATATGACACCAGCTATGGAGATTAGGGATTGCAAGGGGCAGAGTCCTGACATAGGGAATTAAAGTCCCAACTTAGAATTTTATAGTGTTTCTAAGCAAGTATAGCCTTCTCTCGCTCAAAATCTAAGTAAAAGAAAGAACAACAACATAAGTCAGAATACATGTAGAGCAGTGAGGAAAATACCAACCAAACACAGAAACCCACGGACACACACACACAAAAAAAAAAATAAAATGAAAACAGTTCAATGAATATGTTAGGGATTGTGGTAGGAACTCTGCGTGTACTATTGCCTTTAAATCTTATGAAAACCCTCTATGGCAGAGGCTATAGTTAAAGCACTTTGCAAATGGAAAAACAGGCCTAGGAAGGTTAAGTAAGCTATAAGCTAGGTCAGGAAGTTGACTCAGTAGGTAAAGACACTTGCTGCCAAGCTTTGACAACTTGAGTTTGATACTGCGCACCCACATGGTAGAAGAGAACCAACTCCTACAAGTGGTCCTCTAACCCCCACACTTATGCTGTGGTACACACACACACACACACACACACACACACACACACAATGAATATGTAAATAAGTTAAGTAACCTTCCCAAGAGAATACTGGGGGGGAAAGATGGCAGAACGAGGGTTTGAGTTCAGGTAAACAGACCTCTAAGCTACTACCAGATAGGTTTCTATTCAATATGAAAATCAAAAGAACCATACAATTTGCAAAACTCTACAGGTACCAGACAGTCATTAGGAAAGTAATTTCAGCCTGGCGGTGGTGGTGTACAACTTTAATCCCAACACTCAGGAGACAGAGGCAGGTGGATCTCTATGAGTTTGAGGCCAGCATGGTCTACAGAGCAAATTTCAGAACAGCCAGGACTGTACACAGAGAAATCCTGTCTCAAACAAACAAACAAACATACACATAGGGGAAAAAAAGCAATTTCTTCCAAAAGAAGCGTAATCCAAAAATAAGAGGCAGCACAAGCAATGGAAAGAGATTCTTGTATAATACAGATAAAGGTATTACAGCTTTGGAACAATGCTATGGGTGAGCATGTTACTGACAATCCATCAAAATGGGAAAGGGTTATCATTTTAACCTTGCATTTTTACTACTGGGACTGACTCCACCACAAGAAACACTCAACACTATGTAGGGGCATTCCCCAGAAGGGTCCCTGGCAGGCTGGTTACAGGACCTGTGAATGTGACATGCATGACAAATAGACTCTAGAATTGTTTACCTTCAGGGTTGTGAGACAGGCAGACTACCTAGATTATTATGCAGGTAGGGCTGTAATGACAATGGTCCTTATAAGAAGGACTCAGATGTAAGAGAAGTCCATGTGACAACAGAATCTGAGATTGAGGTGATAAATTAACTCTAGGCAGTGAAAAGGACAAGGAAACAGATGTTCCCTCCTAGCATCCATCCAAAACCAGTCCAGTAGACAGCTTGACAGTAAATCAGTGCAAGGCTTTCAGAACTGTGAGACAATTTGTGCTGTTCTAAACACTGAATCTGTGGAACTGTTACACAGCAATAATAATAATAATAGTAATAATAATAACACAGGGGTTACATTTTAAGGGTAACCCACATATTTATTAATAAGGCAATGGATATGCAAATGATAATGTTACATGAAATACATAGAGCTATTAAACAGAATGAGGTAAACTTGTAGCCCAACACCAGCTTTCATCTCAATATACTATTCATACAAAAAGGTAAGCTACAAAACAATCTTTTGAAAAGTCTTATACACATATACACCTATGCAGGATACACACACAACACCCAGGACACTTCCCTAATTATTCTTTGGAGTTTGTGAAGAGAGGCAGAAAAGAAATCTTTCACTAATTTCTTAACATTCTCACAATTTTTTCTATGTGTTTGTTTGTTCTTTTTGTTTTCAGTGCTAGAGATGAAACCCAGGGCTTCACTCATTTTAAACACGCACTCTACTGAAGAACCAACCTGTCTCTATTTTAGGTTTAAAAGCTATCTTATAATAAAGACAAACTAGGTTCATTTCTGTTTCTCAAGGACTGGGCTATGCCCCACCTGTAACCTTAACTACAAATGGTTCTGTACTGCCTGTTCTAGGAATGGCAATCATGTCTTTGTTCCAAAGGGTTACATGAGTACCTATGACTGACTACCTTGCTATGACTACCTGTTGTTATGACTACTTTGTTGTGCCTACTTTGCAACCAAGTCTTTGTTTCAAGAGAGACTAACTTGTTTTACTTATGTTCTGCTCCTTTAACCCCACCTATTTTGTCCACCAAATCATCTATTTGGAAACCTCCTACCCCTGAGCTATAAAAGCCCTGTCTTCTTCACATCCAATGCTGACCTCTCACACACTGCCTTAGGGAGAGTCAGCCCTTGTACATGAACAAAACCCCTTGCTTTAATTAACTGCTTGTTTTAATTAATTTGGTAATGATGTTATTTGGGTCAGTAGTCTTTCTCCTCACATCTTTGGGATTAACACAAACACTGAACTACATAAATTCAGGGCTAGAAAGATAGCTCAGTGTCAGAGCATTTGCCTAGCATACATGCAGCCCTAGGTTCAGTCTCCAGTAACCACAAAAACAGTCAGAATCAGACTACATTTCTAAATTGACTTTTCCATTATGTCTTGCTATGGTCTGGATGTGAGATATCCTTTACACACTCACGTGTCTGTACACTCACTTTGTTCCCAGCCTAAGGCACTGCTTTGAGAGACTGTAGAATTTTGGCGCTATGGCCTAGCCAGCAGAAGCGGGTCACAATCTCATTCCAGTTAGAACTTTCTGCTTCCAGATCTATCCAGATGTGAACAAGCTGTAATGAGCATTACCACTGTCCTAGATTAAGCTATTGTGCCATTCCTTTTCCTGCCACAATGGACTATAGTTCTTAAAACTGTGAGACAATAAATTCTTCCTTCTTTAAGTTGCTCCTGTCAGATAGCTTGTCCTACCAACAAATAGCTAACATATACTTCTTTGCATTATCAGTGTTTTCTCTGAGAATTACAGCATATATTCTAATTTCTTCTCTATAGCTAACATATTCTTTCAAAGATTGCCAGAAACATCAAGTATGGAGAATATCACCTTCTCTTTTTATGGCTGCAGGGTTTTTCCAGTTTACAGGACTACACCAATCATATTCCTGTACAGCTTTAATTTAGAGGCAAAGGAGACAACATAGCAAGACTGAGTGAGGAGACCAAGATTCCATTGCAATCCTCCTTAATAGTATACACAGTTCTTACTCTAGCATCCCTGGATCTGTGTGAGTGACTTTGTTTGGGGAGCCCTCAAAGGAGGGACCCTTACTCAGTTTCCTTTCTAATGCTCTAACCTGAATTCTCAGCCAGCACCACTTCCTTTTAGCTACCAGAACTTCCTACAGTTTTTCTTGTTCTGCTAGCAACAAACAAGCTTAATTTCCTTCTGCCAGGGAATGTCTTCATTCCTTATTCCTTTTTTTTTTTAATTTATTTTTTATTTTACATACTAACCCCAGTTACCTCTCCCATCCTTCTCCCACCCTTCTCCCTCCCCCTTCCCACCCCTAGCTATACCTCACAGGGAGTAAGACTTTCCTTGGAAAGTCAACAATCTGGTATACCAAGCCCCTCCTCCCTGTACCAAAGCTGAGCAAGTTATCTCACCAGAAAACGGACTCCAAAAAGCCAGTTTATGCACCTGGGATTTGCCTTCATTCTTGAAGACAATTTTCACTAGATACAGACTGAATGACAGTTTCTTTCTACGTTTGAAATGCCATTTGAGTTTTTCTGGACTATGTTGTTTCTGTTGAAAAGCCAATAGTCATCATTTCTCTCTGTGTAATATTTTTTGGTCTGCTTTCAAATCGGTTTTTTTTTTTTTTTTTTTTTTTTTTTGTAATTTGTCTATGGCTGTTCAGTTCAATATGATGGACAGCAGTCATGAGTGGTTATTACCACAAATTGTGGCTTCTCTAAGTGATATGTGCTGTGTATCTAAATGTTTAACAGATTGGTTTACTAAATATGTGTACATATTACACAAATGTAAACATAAATACATGCATGTGCATAAAACACCCAGCATCTTGATAATTGTATATTGTTTACATGCAAAATATTTGCATAAACTGTATTAAATAAAGCATTAGATTACTTGCTCCTATGTACTTCTTTAATATTGTAACTAGAAGGCTTTTAGACACATGAGCTGCGTGCATGCTTCACACTCTACTCTTTTCACACACTACTGCCAATGATGGGTGCCTCTCATGAAAACCTTCTTATAAAACCCTGCTTCACAATGACAAAATACATTTTATTCCTTAGATTCTGTAAGTTATGTAACCACATTCCTTTGGATGGGTATTTGTGTCTTTATTTTTCGTGTGTATATGCATACACATGTATTCATATGTGTGCACATGTATGTTGTTGTGGAATAATCGTTTGTACACTATGAAGAAGTGTCACTCTGATTGGTTTAATAAAAAGCTGAATAGCCAATAGCTAGGCAAGATTTCCAGGCATAGAGAA